CCTTTTCCAGGACATGTATTTTATAGTAATTAGGTAACAAATCTGTGGAATATTCAATTTGTAATCTAATTATTTAGCATCAATGTAGTTATCAGATTCCTTAGAATCTTTCATTTTCTCTCTCAATACAATGTTCTTTCTTTCTGACCCATTCTGATCATCAGTCTCCACCACTACCAACAGTATCCCACTCCAACCAGGCAAACAATTAATCTAGAAAGGAACTCTTAAATATCAAGCAATAAGAGTGTGTCAGCTGTTCTTGACTTAAATATGCCAGTCGATGGCAGCAGAGTACTATGAAATGCTCACTGGGCTGGTGGCAAGAGCTCAAACTTAAAACTTGAATTCAATCTAGGAAGCTGCTTCTAGTGAAAATGTTCCAATGAGAATATTGTCCTAGGAAGAGATTCTTTGTTCTCATAGGTTTAAAATCACGATAAGATCTGGAAATTTCCCCAGAATGAGTTTTCAAAGTAGGCTCAGTAGTTCTCAAATGACTAGTGAGAAAATTTACTGAATCTGGATAAGATAAAATTCAGGCAGAATTTTTCACGTTTTCATAGGCAGGCGAAAAGTATTCCTGTCCCTTCCCTTCAAATAATTATTTCTTTAATAAGTTTAGTAGATTGGTTTAGTCCTACTAATTTATACCTCTAGTGTCCTCAATGAAAATTCAGATGACTTGAATTCTAATCACAGCTATGTCACTGATTAAATGTGATTTACAGAAAACATGTCACTTTGTGGGATCTCAGTCATATTATCTCTGAAAAGATGATGATGATTTCCAAGGCCCTTTTCAATTTTAATGTTCCACAGTTTCTAATCCTTCTTTCTTTGATTACTTCCAGTTTTTAAGATAGAACTATATTAGAAGTTCTCCACTTAAGTTCATAGTTTAGTATTTTAGAGAAGTAGGCTGGTGTAGTGGTTCAGAATATGCATTCTGGTCATATTTTGGCTCTGTGACTTTAGGCAAATTATTTAAGCCACATATTTCTAAGATGATTTAATGAGAATATTAGTACATAAATCATGCACGAATTGAATACATCAATATAAAAAGATCAGTGCCTAACACATGGTAAATATATATGTTATCTTATTACTCGTGTGACTGTAATGTCAAAAAGAATCTCATTATTACTTTTCCTATCAATGAAATACAGACCAAGTATGAATTAGTAGGTGTCCTATTAGATTATATTTTCTTTAACCCACTCCCTGATTTTTGGATTTTTTATTTGTTTGTTTGTTTGGTTCAGAACATGAAGACCAATAGGGTCAGCCTTCAGAGTAGGAGGAATAATATTCTTCTGCTAAATTTAATTAGACAAGCAGTTAAGTAAAACCTTTCCCCAAATCAGCTAGAGTTTACTGTTCCCTTTTTTACCAGACAAAAAATAAAAATAAACTCACTGCCATCGAGTCAAACCTGACTCATAGAGACCTCTCCTTGGGTTTCTGAGGCAGTATCACTATGGCAGTAGATTGCCCAACCTTCCTTCCAAGGAGTGGCTGGGAGGTTTGAACTGCCAGCCTTCTGGTTAACAGTCAAATGCCTTAGGCACTACACCACCAGAGCTCTATTGTATGCTATGGCAAGACAATAAAGGTCGACTTACAGTGGTGGCGAAAACTCCACTCCACTTCTCTTAGCCTAAAATCTGAAAAACTAATATTTGAGCATTGCTAACTCTAGATAGCAAGATTTAAAATAAATAAATAAATAAATAAATAAAAATAACCAACTCTTTTGGAATGAATTCAGAGAAATTTCAGTTGCTTACCTGTCACCTCAGGTTGTTAATGATTCTTCCTCCAATCCTGATACCACGTTTTTCTTCATATAGTCCAGCTTCTTGGATGATTTGCTCAGCATATAGATTGAATAAGTGTGGAGAAAGGATACAACCCTGACGCACTCCCTTCTTGATTTTAAACCATGTAGCGTCCCCTTGTTCTGTTCGAACGACAGCCTCCTGGTCAAGGTACAGATTCCTCATGAGTACAATCAAGTGCTCTGGAATTCCCATTCTTCTCAATGTTATCCATAATTTGTCATGATCCACACAATCAAATGCCTTTGCATAGTCACTAAAACACAAGTAAACATCTTTCTGGTATTCTTTGCCTTGAGCCAAGATCCATCTGACAACAGCTATGATATCCCTTGTTCCACGTCCTCTTCTGAATCCAGCTTGAACCTCTGGAAGTTCTTTGTCAATATATTGGTTCTATAATCGATGCCAATGGAAGCAGCAGTCAGGACATTAGACAATGTGTAGCATTGGGAAAGTCAACTGCGAAGGAACTATTTCAAGTGCTGAGGAGCAAGGATATCTCCTTGAGGACTAAGGTGTGCCTGACACAAGCCATGATATTTCCAATCGTCTCGTATGCATGTGAGAGCTGGACAATGAATAAGGAAGACTGAAGAAGAGTTGATGCTTTTGAGTTGTGGTGCTGGTGAAGAATGCTGAAAGTACCATGGACTGCTAAAAGAACTAACAGATCTGTCCTGGAGGAAGTGCAGCCAGAATGCTCCTTGGAAGCAAGAATGGCCAGACTTCGTCTCACCTATTTTGGTCATGTTGTAAGAAGGGACCATTCCCTGGAGAAGGATGTCATGCTTGGTAGGGTGGAGGGTCGACAAAAGAGGGGAAGGCCTTCAACGAGATGGATTGACATGGTGGCTGCGATGATGGGCTCAAGTATGGCAGGGATTGTGGGGCTGGCGCGGGATCGGGCAGTGTTTCGTTCTGCTGTGCATCGGGTCGCTATGAGTCAAAAACTACTCCACGGCACTTAACAACAACAACAACAACCTGTCACCTTAAGATAGACAATTGTACCTTCCTATTTTTATTGTATTCTCTGCTTTTTATTAAAAATTTTGAAGCATCATTGAAATTGGAAGAAAGGTAGAGAACATTTTTAGACTTCCCTTTTGAAGTTCATTAGAATGTAAAATTTAGAGCTCAAAGGGATGAATGAGATCATCTGGGCCAGTTCATCTTTGAACTTCAGGCAACCAAAGGCCAGTCATAGACTTCACCAATCTCCATACAGGCTACTCTTCCCACTCCTACCTCTGCACATGCATTTACTTCCATAATTATAAAAGCTTCCAAAATTATAAAAAAATTTTAATTTATTTTACGAACAGATTTTCTTAAAAAAGGAACAGGGAAGAACCATAGCATTAGCAAAACTTTTGAGAGGTTCATATATAGCAAGGTTCATTCTCCATACCCACTTACTCCCCACTCCCCTTTCATTTTAATAGCTGTCAAATGTTGGCTAGAGAGTTAAACTTTGAGAAAAGCAGGCATCTGAAAAGTTCCATTGCTCCTAAGCCAGTTTGGGCATGTTATCTTTTACATTCCATAACTCAGCTTCCATCACATGTACTAAACTGGCTAGCTTTTAAAGACTGACAGTAGGTAACACAACTAGTCTTCACTCATTTCTCTTCAGATGTTCCCTTCCTAAGCCATTCACCCCAGGGCCAAAAAAATCCACCAAATAAGGAAACATCAGTCAACCTGAAGTCCCAGACAAGTTTTGCATGTGAATGAAGGCTTCTGAGGATTACAGGTAGGGAACAATGTTATCCCAAATCTGGCTTTTAGTACACCTGTGTGATGCAATGATTGCAGATGTAAACTGACAAATCATATATCCAAAGGATGTCCCTCTTTTACCAGAAGTATGTTTTGACTCAATTGCTGCTTCTTATGGACTAGAATGATTCAGAAAGGATTACATAAAAAAAAAGCAGGGCATCTCCCCACCCCACCCCAAGTATCTTTCTGTCTGTTAATGTTAAAAAAGAGATGATATGTGGGTTTAAAGGTTTGTCTCTCATGAGCTCCCCATTGAATCTAAGCACAGAGATGATTCTACTTCAAACATGAAGGAAGGTCAAGTTTCTTTGCTCCACTTAGATGGGCAGAGGAAGACAGTGGTAGTGAAGATTACCCATGACTTTGCCCATCTCTTTGGTAGCTTCTGCTCAGACATCTCATCGTCTTTGATCACTCAACAATCAGACTGAGACAAGCATACAATACAGATTTCCTCAAGTTTGAAACAGAAGCATTTAACTTCAAAACATCATTTAGAATGTTATTTTTCTATCACAATAACAAATGCCAATTCTCATTGAAGAACAATGGCTTCTTAGCCCACTGGATTTAGGATGGCTCATGTTGAATCTGAGATCAGGAATAAGAATAGCATGATCGAATACCAACAAAAGGATGAAGGAAGGATAAGTAATGGTCCATGTGCCACTTTATTCCATCTCAAAGGAATTTCTTGTTGCTCATTTAACCTATAATTTCAAACATTCTTGCATTTGTCCTCACCACCCTGCGAAAACATGGCATTAGCCCTGTTTTGCAGATAAGAAAATTATATGCTTTTGTGTGATTTCCTAATTTGGAAATTCACAAAAGTTTTGGGATATATACCCTGTAAGGTCAATATCCTTCAAAATTTAAAGTGAATCAGAAGGAAAGCTTTGAGGGAAAAATGAAACGAAGAGAGATATTGTCTAAAGAGAATGAATTGCAGACTGAGTAATCTCAGCAAAGAGGAGAAGAAACTAGTTTGCTGACATTTCCTTAGATCCCTATGTGGCTCTAGATCTTCCCTGTAGCAGAAAGCTTCTTGAGATGCTGCACTCTCAGGCGATATGGCAAGAAAGATGAATTAGAAAGGTATAGCAACAACTCAATAGTTATTTACTTTAAGCATAACCTATGTTATTAAAATCCTCACAATCATTTTCCATCTACTCTCTAATATTGTTGAAGGAAATTAAACTTTTACCCAATCCATCCTGTTAGAGTGAGTCTGTAGCTAGGGATATCAAGCTGTTCCTTCATCATGAACCTAGGATCATCTTCAGAATTCTTCACGATAGTTTAGCATTCCTTGCAAAGGAAGAGACGTCTTACCAACTCACTGAGGTTGATATGCTTTTACAGGGGCATCGGTAGTGGCAGTGAAAAACAAGACAGAAACATCCACTTGTACAAGAAAGGAATATTTTATAATGGGGCAGTCAAGCTTGATCACTGCTGCCAGGCTGGGTGGCAGGTAAGTGCCTCAGAGAACTCTCTTCCTCTGTGGTTTCCTGAGAATCACTGGTCATTAAAATTTGACACATCACAGAATATCTGCTTCAACAGCTCCTGTACTGACCAATGGAATTGTTCCTCACCAAAACGAATTCATCCCTACTTCCCTCCATATCATTAAGCTAAACAAATATACCTCCCACACCTTCCTCAAATCATCTATTCCCATGATAACCAAAAGTGATTGAAAGTCCTATCTACCCAATTTTCTTTCAGATCACCTTCAGGAACTCTAGAAATATGGATTAGGGCCACTATTATTTTCTTTTTTTTCCCCCCTCTATTATCAATCTGTCCTTTATTTACAATCAATTAGCAATTAGATGATTTTCTGCAAAATACAGTCTAAAAATTTTCTTCTATGCTCTTTTTTCTTTAGAGCTCTCCACTACATTAAAAGTTTGATGAACTTGAATGCAAGTTTGTAGGTGGGGGCACTCTGTTTAGTTGACTTTAGACAAAGGGTTGATCAAAAACTTTCACTTTTTTCTAAATAACTTTCTAGGATGTTGCCAACATTCCACATCTTAGTAGATATAATATACCAGGAAGATCATCTTAAAGATTGATGACTGTGATTGTTTCAGGGTAAATATTCTATTATCACCAAAGCCTAGCCATTATGCCTTGTCATCACACAATGTAAGTTTAAACATCAGTTCTAAATTATGTGTGATCTTGGTTAAGTTGCTTTATTTCTTGGTGTCTCACATCTGGTGTCATAGATGAGGACAGTAGTAATAAATATGCGGTAGGTTTTTTGTGAAGATGAATGAGATTGGGTGGTTAAAGCACTTAGCTTGTTGCCTGGCAGATAATTAGTGCTCATTATCATGATGATTACATCTCATATCCAGGCATGTTTACAAAATTGGACTGAAAAAGTAGTCAGTGCAGAGCCTTCCAAGGATGTGGATCTTGAAATAAACCCCTTACTTGATCCTATTTGTTATAATTTACCTCTTTTTTTTTTTTTTTAGAGCATAAAGACATATACTTCTGTTTAAGTGAGGATTCCTGGGAGTTCTGATTAATGGAGATTCCGTTATGTCTTAGTCACCAAGGTGCCACTATTTCATGCATACACTTTCTAAGAATCCTGCAGGTTATTATACCTTCTGCTCTTCCTTGCCTTCCATTTCAGGATTCTATGGAACCAGGTTACTGTGAGAAGAGACTGATAACGGTTTGGAGTAAAGGCACTATGGAATTTCAGGGGTTGATATTTTGCTTCACTCTATCCCACAACACAACAGCTACAGTCTAGCATTGGAACTGGCAGATAAATTGTTTCTTTTAGAATGCTTAGTTAATAGGTATTTATGGAGCCCCTTCTATGTGCTGAGTAGGCTGTGTCTGATGCTTCTGTGGCTATAGAAATCATGTCTCAAACCCCATACAATCTGTTTGGGTAAATAAGGCTATACCGTATAAATAAATCAGAGGCCAAAGAAGGCAGTATTCCTTCAAGTGCTACACTGATTATTTTGTAATCAAAGAACACAGAGGAGGTCCATGAAGATGGAGTGATCAGGAAAACTTCCTGTGGGAGGGGGGCCTTAAATGATTTGGAAAGGTGGAAGAGATCGGGAATGCCAATTCCTATGAAGGAATGGACAAGGCATGGGGGTAAGGTGGAGCCTTTCATCTACCAGCTAGCCTGATTAGAGGTGTGAATGCATGGTAGGAAGTAGATTGCCCAATCTTCCTTCCGAGAAGTGGCTGGTGAGTTTGAACCACCAGCCTTCTGGTTAGCAGTCAAATGCCTTAGGCCCTACAGCACCAGAGCACTTATAAGAAATAACATCCTAAACTTAACACATTTTTGCCTATTTTGGCAATGCACTTGCATTTGTATACGTATGTACATTATTTTTATCTTAATGAGAAATTATAGAAACACAATTTAAAACTGAAAATTGTTTTGAAGACTTGAAGACAGCATATGTGATAGCACATAAAGTGATCCAACCATATTTATGCTTTCATTTCTTCTCTCTCATGTCTTCTCTGTGACATTAGAGACTATATGAGCCATGCATAATCAAAAGCCACAGATAATCCTTAATGTAATTTTAACCATTTAGTTTCACTGGCTTTTCCCACTATTCTTTAGCACAGCTATAAACACAAAATAATTTATCTGATTGGCATTCTCCTCCTTACCTATGCCATACAAAGGAATGGTCCAAAGCAGGCATCTAAAAAAAGAAATGATCCTTTGGAATGACTGGCTCATTCACAGACTGGGCCAATCAGCCCTGTAGCTGGTTGGAGATCCTTGAATATGCTTTAAAAGTCCAAAGAGGCCCAGAGATGTTAACTCATCCTGATCATCTCTACAGATGGTGCTCAATTCACTGGCACGTATGCTTTTGAATTAAACTATGAACTACAGAGCTAAAAAAAAAAAAATTAATTAGGGCCACACTACTGAATCTCTTAGATTGTGGTGTATACTTTAATAGATAAGTGTCATTTGTGGAGGAATGTCTGTAATATTTCATCAATGAGACTGGTTAGCTGAGTTGATTTAAGGAGAGTGTTAATGGGATCGATGACAGACCCTGCTCCCACTTAGTTCTATAGTGGGGTTTTTTTGCAGGGAAAGATAACTCAAGCAAGCAAATTGGCAAATTTATGCACTGGGTAATGACAATGAGTGGTAAAATAGATTGAAAGGCTTAATAGAGGCAAGTAGGAACTACTGGAAAAAAAATGTAAAATGTGTGTTATATACTGTTTGTGGTCCACTTTCGATGTGTTAATAGTATTGTATTCACATACCAAAAACAACATAGTATTATTTATAGTTTTCTTGAAAATAGGTTTGATGCTCTTAAAGATGCAATCTTTAGGTCACCAGTGGGTTTTCCATTGAGCCCAGAAACTATAATTTTCTATTCTTAGTACATGAAGCAATACAGACAGCCCTTAACTTATACAAAAGTTATAGTGCAGTATTTCATTTATTTTGCCTCCCTAGTGTCTTTTTCCATAGAATAAGCCATGTTATAAATAATGGTTTGGTTCTCAGGCTAGTCCACAAGAGTCTATTTAATAAATGGTAGTTAAATATATATTTGTTGAATGAATACATAAATGAACACTAGCTATGTTTGTCTGAGTTCTGTCTCCTTAAATCAGAGGGTTATATAAGATTGAGAAGATGAGTATTTCCTCTTCCTTTTCAGGGTGATAAAGCTAGCCCTATACAAAATTTTATGAAAAACAAAACTATGTCTCATCCACTCTTGGAGGCCTCTTGGAGGCCCGTTGCCCTAGCTAGCTTCCAATTTCTCTGCAATGTTCACTCTACTTTGGATTCTCATTTAGAAATGTTCTGCCTTCTTTCACATGGTTTACAATTGTTTAGCATCCTTTGCCTCTACTCCATTAAAACTCACTTTTTTCAGTAAAGCTGATTACAATTAAACATTTGACAGACAATATTTAAATACAATTAATTTATATTGTCTTGTAAATGACTGATTATTCCATAACTACATTAAATCATCCAGCATTTTAAAAATAATGTCTTTATGAACTCAAGCAGATATTGTTTGACATTTTAATCAATGAAACAAAGAAAAGCAGAAAGTTTTGAGCAGTTCCAATAGGAGAGATCTGGATCAGGAGAAGAAACTATTATTAATAGAAGGCTTTGTCATCTATCTGACACATCAGCCCATGCCTGTAAATCCTCCCTTTGGAGGTCTGCTTAATTCAACTCTTAAAGACTATACTGATGTCTAAATATTTTTCACATAACTCCCCTTTCCACTATGTCTTAGTAATACCTATGAATGATATTATGTTTATTATATCAGCTTCATCTCCATATTCCACATATTAATTTAGAGAAATTAGAAAACGTGCAGGTTATTATTTTTCTTTTTCTCTTTAATTATTTAAAAGGCAAGTAACCTACAAATATCAGTCATGAGGAACAACTTATATAGCAGGCATGAGTCTTAGATCACCATTTTCTTTAATCATTAAGCTTAGGTTTCTTCACCTATAAAATAGAAATCTAAAAGAACCCAAATAATTTTAAGGATTGAATGAGAGAAAACATATTATGTTCTTATGTAGTACCTAATACATAATATAACTACTGGAAGTGAAAATGGTCCATGTTGTTATCATTGTTGTTGTTTTTATTCACTTCCTGACCCTGGGTCTTAGATGTCAGTGGTTTTACAACCATTTTCATGTGTGGAAAGAGAGAGTGGCATGGTTCTAGACCGCCCAGTCTGCATTCATTATCTCCCACCCACCAAACAACGACCGTCAGTCCAAAGCAGCACATCAGCACAGATTTCGGTGAAGACCCATAATGCATTCCCTCCCACTGGTGCAGCCACTATGCTACATCTAAGTCTGTCTGTAGCTTACCATTTTCCATCTAGTACATTCATTTTCATGACAATTCCAAATGCTTCCTGGGCTCATCTCTAGTGTTTTCAAACACCACTGATCTCATGGTAATTTTCAGTTTCTGAACCAATTACAGTCCATACACAAAATCTGCCAGCATATCCTTTGCTAGGCCAAAAGGTTGATATTATAAGAAGCGCATTGACCATTGGAGATGGGGAAATCCATCCAAGTGGGAGAAATTGCTTGCTTCTCATCTTATCTACTGCTACTATAACAGAAATAACGCAACAAAAAATTTATTTTCTCACAGTGTGTAGGAGACTAGAAGTCTGAATTCATGGTGCTGGCTTTAGGGGAAGCCTTTCTCTGTAGATTCTGGAGGAAGTTTCTTGACTCTTGTGACCTTCTGCTCCTAGGAAATCGTCACATAGCTTAGCATCTCTCTTCCCTGATCTCGCCTCTGGTATTTGTCTAATCTCTTTTAGAGATTGACTTGAGATTGACTCAAGATACACTGAACACTAATCCTGTCACATTACCATAACAAAGACAATTTATCCCGAAATGGGATTATAA